TATTCTTTCTATATCTTTTTAATATAATGCTTCTTCTATATAGCACAATAAGACAACAAATAAGACAAAAAAAGAGATCAAAGGGAGCCAGGCAGTGGTGGCACATTTTTAATCCCAGCACTTGGGAGGCAGAAGCACACAGATCTCTGTGAGTTCAAGGCCAGCCTGGTCGACAAGAGCTAGTTCCAGGACAGACTCCAAAGCCACAAGAAACCCTGTCTTGAAAAATCAACAAAAAAAGAGATCAAAGACATACAAATTGGAACAAAAGAAGTCAAATTTTTGCAGTTTACAGATGATACGATATAACATGAGGGCCGTCTTAGCCCCGTATTGGGTGCCAATTGTAAAAGCAGTGGTGGGCTGAATTCCTGCTGCCCAGCTCCCCCACAGACCATTAGCTCCAGTCTCTTACTGGCTAACTCTCACATTTTGATTAACCCATTTCTATTAATATGTATCGCCACTTGACTGTGGCTTACCAGCATGAGTCTAACCACCATCCATCCTGGGTAGGAGAAGCATGGCATCTGCCTGACTCTCCTTTCTTCCTCCCAGCATTCTGTTCTGTCTTCCCCACATACCTATGTTCTGACCTACCAGGTCAAGCACTTTTCTTTATTAATTAGCCAACAAAAGCAACAGATAGATAGAAGACCCTCCTACATCAATACAATAGTACATATAAGTGACCACAAAAATTATATCACGGAACTCCTACATCTGATAAGACCTTAAGTAATCTGGCTGGATAGAAGATTAACTGAAAAGGATTAGTTTTATAAAATGATAAATTGCGGAGAACTAAATCAGAGAAACAACACTCTTTACAATAGATACAAATAATGTAAAGTATCATGGGATAGCTCAAATCGAATGAAAGACTTGTATGATAAGAATTTTAAGTCTTTGAAAGAAGATGTTGGATAAGACATCAGAAAATAGATCTCCCATGTTCATGGATTGGTAGGATTAATATAGTAAAAATTGAAATCTTACCAAAAGCAATCTATAGACTCAATTCATTTCTGTCAAAATTCCAACATAATTCTTTACAGACCTTGAACAAACAATACTCAACTTCATATGGAAAAGAAAAAAACCCCATACAGCTGAAATAATACTGTAAAAGCACTTCCGGAGGTGTCACCATCCCTGATTTCAAGATCTACTATAGAACTATAGTAATAACAGTTTGGTTTGGCATAAAAACAGAAAAAGGGATGAATGGAATTCAATGAAAGACCCTGACATAAATCTATATACCTATAAACACCTGATTTTTGACAAAAAAGCCAAAATCATACAACATCAACAAAAGAGAAAGCATCATCAACAAGTAATACTGGCAAAACTTGTATTGACAAGTAGAAGAATGCAAATAGATATATATCTATTGCCCTGAACAAAACTCAAAGTCCAAGTCTATCAAAGATCTCAATATAAGTCCAATTGTACTAAAGCTGATAGGAAGGAAAGTAGAATGTAGCCTTGAACACATGGACACAGAGGACTACTTCCTGAATATAACACTAGCAGCACAAACATTGAGACCAACAATTAATAAATGGAACCTCTGAAAACAGAAATGTTTCTGTAAGCAAAAGTCACTGTCAGTAAGACAAAATGGCAGTGTACAGAAACCAGGTGAAGATAGGGAAGAGGGATTATATGAGTGAGGGGAGTGCTGTGGAACAAGGGTCTGTACCTTGTCTATTATATTTTAAATAAATACTGTTTGGCCAGTAGCCAGGCAGAAAGCAAAGGTGGGGTGCAGAAAGTAGAGACGTGGCAATAAGAATTCAGGGAAGAAAGAAATCTGAGTCTGGAGTTGTGACCTAATCACAGAGCAAGCAAGATGCGACTGTTTTGCCGAAAAAGGCACTAAGCCACATGACTAACATAGACAAAAATAATGGGTTAATATAAGTTATAAGAATTAGTTAATAAGAATGGCCTTATATACTGGGCCAATCAGTTTATAGATAATATAGACCTCTGTGTTGGGAATTAATGACACAGAGAACTGGACAGGACAGAAACCTCAGTCAACAGGGGAGGCTGAAGATCATGACAGGGAAATCCACAGAAATAGCTGACCTGAGCACAAGAGAGCTCATAGAATCTGTACCAACACCTAGGGAGCTGGCATAGGATTCTCCTAGGCCTTCTGCATGTGTTTAACAGTTGTGTAGGATAGTCTGTTAATGGGATTCCTAGCAGTAGAACCAGGATCTATTCATGGCACATGAACTGGCCTTTTGGGATATAATCCCTGTGGCAGGATGGATTGTCCAGTATCAATACAAAAGGTAGGAGCTTGGTCCTGCCTTAACTCTTGACATGTCATGCTTTGTTGGCTCCCATTAAAGGCCTTATCCTTCTGAATGGAGACAGGAGTGGATGTAGTTGATAGAAGGGATTGGAAATAGAGGAGGGAGGAGAAACTGTGGTTGCTATCTAATTATTTGCCACACTATTGACCATTAATATGCTTTAAAGACTTTTATTTTACTACATGGAGTGAGAACCAATAGAGAAAAACAATATGTCTGTCATCTGTATATAGCCAATCATAAACAAATAATCATTTGGCTAATAAGAGTATATAGGTGACACCACCATTCAGATAATTGTGACTAAGTTACATTCATACCAACTGTTTTAATATTGTATTTGTGACATCATTAATGTGGATGCTATACATAAAAATATTGAATGCAAGATTACTCATATGTTCTATATTATGTGTCTGTACCTATCAATATTTCCCTAGAGTTCAAATCACATTAATCTTTTGAAAAGAAGATCTCTGGATACTGCTTAAAGTCTTCTGTCTCATATTTAACTGTTTCTTATTTAACTGTACAAGTAATTATTCCTGTTTTTTAAACATACAGAGAACTTGCAATTGGCTCCTAACACCCACATAACAGAGTTCTATAGTGAGAGGCTATTAGAAGGACCTCCCACATCAGACTTCAGTGGATCTGATGCCCTATTCTGATCCTCATTGATTGTTATAAGTTCAGGGTGAATATAAATGTCTGTAGGGACACAAATACACATGAAGTTAGATCTTCACTAACCCCTCAACAGACAAAGGTCTGATCTCCAAAATACAAAAAGAACTCAAGAAACTAGACACTAAAACTCTAATTAACCCAATTAAAAAATGGGGTACTGAACTGAACAGAGAATTCACAACAGATGAACTTCGAATGGCCAGAAGACACTTAAGGTCATGCTCAACCTCCTTAGCGATCAGGGAAATGCAAATCAAAACAACTTTGAGATACCATCTTACACCTGTCAGAATAGCTAAAGTCAAAAACACCACTGATACCCTATGCTGGAGAGGATGTGGGGTGAGGGGAACACTCATCCATGGTTGGTGGGAATGCAAACTTGTGCAGCCACTGTGGAAATCAGTGTGGCGGTTTCTCAGGAAACTGGGAGTCAACTTCCCTCAGGACCCAGCAATTCCACTCTTGGGAATATACCCTAGAGATTCCCTAACATACTACAAAAGCATTTGTTCTACTATGTTCATAGCTGCACTATTTGTAATAGCCAGAACCTGGAAACAGCCTAGGTGCCCCTCAATAGAAGAATGGTTAAAAAAGGTGTGGAACATATACACATTAGAGTTTTACTCAGCGGTAAAGAACAATGACATCTTGAATTTTGCATGCAAATGGATGGAAATAGAAAACGCTTTATTGAGTGAGGTAAGCCAGACCCAAAAAGAGGAACATGGTATGTATTCACTCATAAGTGGATTCTAACCATAATTAAAGGTCTTTGAGCCTATTATTCGTGATCCTAGAGAAGCTAAATAAGAAGATGAACCTGATGAAGATTATTTAGCTATCCGCCAGGAAGTAGGAAATAGATAAGAGTCCCAGGTAACCTCAGGTGCATGGGGGGGTGGGAGGGTTGATGGAAGGGGAGAGGGTTAGAGAGAAGGGAGTAGGGGAGGAATGGGGAAAGCTCGGTGGCCTGGGAGGGGGAGTGTGAGGAAGGATGAATATGGGATCAGGGAAGAATATATTTCAACTAAGGGAGTCATTTTAGGGTTTACAGGAGACTTGATTATATATGGGATCCCAGGTCCAAGGAGAGATCCCCCAGATTGTTCTCTGGACAGAGGAGAGGGTGCCTGAACCGGCCGTGGCCCATAACCATACTGATGTATATTTTGCTTATCACCATAGATCCTTCATCTGGCGAAGGACGGCGATACAGACGGAGACCCACATTGGAGCACCTGACTGAGCCCCCCAAGGTCCAAATGAGGAGCACAAGGAGGAAGAACATGAAAAAGGAAATCAGGACTGTGAGGGATGCTATCACCCACTGATACAAGGGGACGGATCTAATGAGAGTTTACCAAGGCCAGTTGGACTGGGACTGAACGAGGACGTGATCTAACCAGATTCTCGGAATTTGGCCGGATTCTCTGAATGTGGCTGGCCCGAAGTCTTTCTGAAAAGCCATTGACTATGATACTGGGACTTGTTTCCTCTGCATATACTGGATTTTGGGGATCCAGTCTGTTTGGATACTCACCTTCCTGGACCTGGAGGGAGGGGAGAGGAACTTGAACTTCCCACAGGGCAGGAAACCCTGACTGCCCTAAGAGACAAAGAGGGAGAAGGAGAGGGCGTGGGGGGAGTGGGAGGGTGTTGGGAAGAGGGGTGGAAATGGAAACTTTTATAATTTAATAAAATTTACTTTCAAAAAAAATGTATGTCATAGCAAACAGTGTGACTTAAAGGGACATTGATATTGAGGGTGTTGGGAAGAGGGGCGGAAATGGAAACTTTTATAATTTAATAAAATTTACTTTCCAAAAAAAAAGATCACATTCCAATAAATCTAACTTGGGAAAGTGATATATTCAATCAGTGCAGCATATTTTAGACCCATTGATCATCACTGTGTATGCTCAAGAGGATGATCAACATGAAGGATTCATCTCAGCAGCAAATACTCACTTGTCTCATTAGAAATATCATTTTCTGGGCAGGGAGTGCAATCAAAACAGCAGGCTGCCATTCCCTCGTGCCTCAGCTTTCTGAATCCAGGACCACAATCAGTACTGCACACAGAGGGCAACATCTAAGGAAAATTAGACACATACTGTTATCAGGAGACCTGCCTATTCATTCCATAGCTACTTTAAATTACCTTGATAAAGTATCATTCGGTTTATTTTATATACACCAAAGAGTGACCATATTTCACTTAGCATATTATAGAATGCCAATTTATGTAAATGTGTAGAAAAAATTTAATAGAAAATTGAGTAGTGTCACATTGCTGGAAATTTAGTAAGAAGAATGAATTGTTCACTTTGGACAAATAAATATGACAGATCATGCAAACAGTTTTTTACTACTTAATTTTTGCAAGTTGACACAAAGTACATTTGAAAGTTAGAGGGAACCTTAACCAAAAAATTCTTTCCTTTGGATTAACCTGTCATCATACTGCAAAACATTTTATTCATTGTTATTTAATGTAGGAGTGCCCAGCCACATTTGGTGTGGACAGTGCTGTCCCCTAGGCAGGCTGTATGAGGAATCAAGCAAAAGAAGCCAGCAAGCAGTATTCCTTCAGGATCTATGCTTTAGTCACAGTCTTCAGATTCCTGCCTTGTCTTCCCTCAACTATAACCCATGAATAAAACCATCCCTCCCTTCTCACTTTTCTTATAGTCTGTGTAATCACAGCAATAGCATAGCAAGCTAGGACCAATGGAGAAATCTAAAACAGGGAAATACTCCTCAAATCTGAGATAACACACAAAAACGCTACAAAAATCATCCTGCAAAGCATGACAGAGTGTAAAAAAGACAGATGACTAGGTAGAGCCTCGTGCATTTCCAGTGATGAAGTACTGAGTTGATGTGCACTGAGCTGGAAGGTGGAGTGTTTCCTGAAAATGAAGTACTTTACAAAGGCTGCAGATACTGCAGAACCTGGATAGAAGTTAAATAACTTAAAGGTTAATTGAAAAATTTCAAATAAATTTTATTTATATTATCAAAAATCTAGTGATAGAGGTCTAAATGCTGCTTTGGAAAGCTGCCAATATTGCAGGCTCACATTGCATGCTCTGTTCAGTGCTGAGTTCATTGTTGAAACTGCAGTGTCTCATATGCATAGGATCTTTCATATTCTCCACAATATTGTTAGAAACAAATCTTCCTTTGTTTTCTGCCTCCTTGAAAAAGGGTTTAACTGAGTAGTGGTGGTAGACCACCCTCATTCTTTCTATAGACTAGGCTGACGTTGATACCACAAGGATATGCCTCTTCTGCTTCCTTAATGCTGGGGATAAACATGTATGCTAGCAGTGGACACATTTGATAGGGGAGTTCAGCCAATCATATTCTGTTTTGGGGGCGTGCCGCCCTCAGGCAAAAGCCTGCCTATAAACCCAGTAAGTGCGCTCTGCTAGCTCTCTTTTCGCCTGGCTCCTGCGTCTGGACGGATCGTTTGGATTCTGGTGTAAGCTGTTGTAAGTCTTACTTCTGTTTATTAAAGCTGTATATTTTGTATCAAGATAGTCTGGGGACTTTTCTTTACCAATCACCCTGCAGCTTCATTTGGCGCCCGAACGTGGGCCCTTTTTCCCACCTTGTGGCGCGGGCCTAGCAACCTGAGCGCACAGCCTTTACAGTAAAGCCTGCACTGGATCCCAGCTCTGTTCAATAGAATTGGGCTAGGGATTTCAGGCTTCTGCAAAAGCTGCAGAACTCGGGCAAGTGGCAGCTCTACCCCCACTCGGGCAGTGTATTCCCTGCAGCCCCGGCTGAGTTTGGCTTGCGGTGCTAGCCTGAAAGTAACCTCTGGATTTGAGTTTATATATATTTCAGAATCTTTCTGGGTTGGCGCCATTGCCACGTGGATTCAGGTGCACCCCTGCCACTTACTGGCAGGCAAGGGTCATTACAGGTAAGATTTTTCTTTTCAGTTGAAAACAAATAAATAAATACAATTTCATTTGATTGAACATGTCAGAAAATATTACTATCCAAAAATTCAATGGCCTTTTTAATTGTGCTATGGAGGATATCCTCCATGAGGTTTCTGATATTCCTCTTACTTGGTTATTTCTGGGACTTGTCGCTTTTCTGGTGTTTGGATATTTTATAAGAATGATGCAGTCCTTCAAGATTGAATCAGCAATGCTGAGAGCAGAGATTAAAACCTTAAGGACAATTCAGACTGACACCAACCTCCTCAAAAAAGAGTTTGGAGATTTCAAGGAGGAGACTGGATCTTTGTCTGATATGACTCGGTCAACTGACCAAAATGTCAAGAAGGTACAGTCTGATATTGCTTCTTTAGAAGGGAGCTTCACTGCTCTGGAGGAGGGGACAACCAAAATGACTCGTAATCTCCAGTCCATGACTGTAAGTTCTGAAACATTAGCTGAGAGGATTAAAACCATTGAAAGTGAAAATCAGAATTTATCAAAAGGGTATGATAGATTAATTGACAGGATTTCCATACAAGAAGGCACAGTACATGCCATGAGGATTATGTCCAAGGTGGATATGGTATCTCTAATGGACAAGCTCCACACCTTAGAATTATCAATGAAGGTGATAGTGTCCAGGGAGAAAATGGTGTCTCTGACGGACAAGCTCCATGCCTTAGAATCGTTAATGAAGGTTTTGGAGCATAATATTGGACAGGAGATTCAGGATTTACAGAAGGCAATGGTGAGCAGATTTAATAAGATTGAGGAAATCATAGACTCTGATGAACAGGAGCAAAAGGTAGAAAGGCAACATTTACCTCCCAAAACTCTGAGTCTACACAGAGTTATACCTACCTTTCCAGTAACAACATCAGAAAAGAAAACTGGCTCCAAAAACTCTAAGGTCATTAAAGAACATACATGGGAGCCTATACGTATGAATTATCTGAAAGAATTTAAACAAGCAATTGTGAATTATGGACTACATTCGTCCTTTGTTAGAGAGATGTTAAAATCCTGGGCTCTCAGCAGTAGGGCAACCCCTCAAGATTGGAATCAGCTGACCTCAGCTGTCCTGGAGAATGGACCTTTATGGCATTTCAAATGCCTATTCAAGCAAGAGGCCAGACTTTTACAACAACAAGAATCAGCGAAAGGAATTGAGGTTTCTCTAGATCAAATTCTAGGGGAAGGACTTTACTCTGATCCTCAGGAAGAAGCTCTTTATGATGAAAACATTTTATCCATATGTGCCACAGCAGCTCTAAGGGCCTGGGACAGGGTTCAAGATTCAGGTCAGAGTGTAGAATCATATATCAGGGTAAAACAGGGTCAGAGAGAACCCTTTAGTGACTTTTTACAAAGACTAACTAAGGTTGTACAAATAGGGATACCTGATCCAGAAGCAAGAAATATAGTAATTGAGTCTTTAGCTTATGAGAATGCCAATGTAGAATGCAAAAGGATCCTGGGGCCTTTAAAGATCAGATCAGCACCTTTGGATGAATGGGTATTACATACAATGAATGTTGATACATTTGATTATGGCAATGAAACATGGGTGCAAGAAGCAATTTCCAAAGGTAAAAGGAGACATCAGATTACAAAATGCTTTCATTGTGGCAAAATGGGACAGATGAAAAGGGACTGCAGACAATGGAATTCCAGGAATAATGCCTCTTCTAGGAATAACAGGAATAGGAGGACTCAGCTTTCAGGTTTATGTAGGAGATGTGGAAAGGGCAGGCATTAGACGAATGAGTGTAGGTCAACAAGATATAAACAGGGCAACCCATTGCCATCGGGAAACTCAATAGGGGGCCTCTCGAAGGCCCCCATGGCAAATGTGGTCCAGTCATTTCTGATCACTGCAGAGAACATGCCTCTTCAGGGAAATTAGAATGCCCCATGCCTGCTGTTAAAAGCAATAACGGCCTGAAGGATGAGTTAAATGTGGTAAATGAATCAAGAAATCTAAGAGGACAAAGTAAATGAATATTCTGGCAGACTTCTATAAATGAACAAAGACCAAAGCTAAGAGTGTGTGTAAATGGCAAATTTATTACTGGCTTACTGAACACAGGTGCAGATGTAAGTATCATTACTCCAGAATCTTGGCATCCGCATTGGCCTCTTCAGGAGGTAGATATTCAGTTCCTAGGAATTTGAACTCTCTCTCGAGTAAGACAAAGCATGAGATGGGTCAATTGTATAGGTCCAGATGGACAAATAGGAAAACTAAGGCCATATGTAGCCAGTATTACAGTGAACTTATGGGGCCGTGACCTATTGCAGCAATGGAATACCCAAATTAACATTCCTGCGGCTGCTAGAGCCTATATTCCTGAGGAAAATAGTACAAGATATTACAGATGGCGGAAACAAGCCATTAGAACTATACAAGAACACAACACAATTGATGGCCCTTCAGAGGTACCAACAGCCATGCCTCTAAAATGGTTGACTGAGAAACCAATATGGACTAAACAATGGCCTTTAGCTAAGGAAAAGTTACAGGCTTTAGAACAGCTGGTACAAGAGCAATTAGATGCTGGACATATAGAAGAATCTACCAGCCCTTGGAATTCTCCTGTATTTGTTGTTAAGAAAAAATCTGGTAGATGGAGAATGGTGACAGATCTTAGAGCTATCAACAAGGTTATTCAACCAATGGGCCCTCTGCAATCTGGAATTCGTCTGCCCTCCCTGTTACCAAAGGGATGGCCTCTTATAGTTATTGATCTGAAAGATTGTTTCTTCACTATACCTTTACAAGAAAAAAATAGAGAAAAGTTTGCCTTCACAGTGCCTACTTATAATAACTCTCAACCTGCAAGGAGGTACCAGTGGACCATCCTCCCACAGGGAATGTTAAACTCTCCCACCCTGTGCCAATATTTTGTAAGCCAACCATTAAAAATTATATGCAAATGATTTCCTAAGTCCATAATATTCCACTATATGTATGACACCCTGATCTCTGATCAAAACAAAGATACCTTAGAAAGGCTGTTTGAAGAAGTAAAAATAGTGTTACCTAAATGGGGATTGCAAATTGCTCCTGAAAAAATTCAGAGAGGAGATTCCGTTAATTATTTAGGTTATAAAATAGGTTTACAAAGAATTA